GGCGTTCCCCGGGGATTCCAGGAGCTTCCCCGGCTGTTCCATCCAGCCCGGGAACCCCTTTTGGGGACACGGAGCTCAGTGCTCCACATAAACCCTGCCAGACTCTGCCCCCATCTCAGGGCTCTGGATCCTCGCTCCTGGCATTCCCGACATTTTTTGCCTCTGTCTCCCCCCGCCCAAAAAAAGAAGCATCAGGGACATAGAAAACTTTGTGAAAGACGATTCTGAATAATAGAACTTTGGGATTTCCTAACAAAACGTTAAATAATGGAGATCACGGGGCACTGACACAAAGCGATTTCAATCCAAAAACCTCAGGAACGGATTTACATAAAATAATGTTAAAGACACCCAGAAACGCCTTTCTCTTATGCAAATTCCACAGAATACAACCCCTTCCTGGTCCAAGCCCGCGTGCAGGACAATTTTTACCTTATTATTTAATCCCACTGCTCAAAATCGAGTCGAACTAAGCTGAGCTCCCTGCCCACAAACAGCAAAACCCAATCTGCTCTGGGCTGGCTGTTTACTGACTGCACGAAAGATTAACAGAGAAATCCAGAGATGCACGATTCCAGAGCCACAAACGCACCATAAGACCCTGGAAAGTGCAGTGGATGCGGCCAGAAAAGCGTTGCTGCTGCCAAAGCGCTGCTCTGACACATTGTTTTGTTGGGCAACAAGTTAAAAGCACTTGAACGGGGCTGGTGTTCATTCAGCAGAGCCAGGGCACCCACACACAGCCTGGGCTGCTGAGCCTCGGGAATGTCGGGATCTGGGCATCAGGCACAGCTTGGGTGTCAGGGCTGCTCACCTGGAACCAGGAATGAAAGGGGAGGTGAGAAATGTTGGGAGATGATGTCCAGGGATCAGAGAATCCTGGAATGGTTTGGGTCGGGAGGGGCCTTGGAGATGATGTAATTCCACCCCCTGCCACGGGCAGGGACACCTTCCACCAGCCCAGGCTGCTCCAGCCTGGCCTGGGACACTTCCAGGGATCCAGGGGCAGCCACAGCTTCTCTGGGAATTCTATTCCAGGGCCTCCCCACCCTCCCAGCCAAGAATCCCTTCCCAATCTCCCTCTGGCAGTGGGAAGCCATTCCCTGTGTCCTGTCCCTCCATCCCTTGTCCCAAATCCCTGTCCCTCTCTCCTTATCCAAGCCCTCCCTCTCTCCTGTAGCCAGCCACCTCTGTTAGCAGACATGGAACATTCTGGAATTACACCTTTGGAACACCTGCAGAACTCCTGCTTTTGCCACCCAGAAGCTCCAAACCCAGCTGGGAGGGAACACACCATGAAGGGGATCAGCATTCCCCGATGATTTCCAGGAGATTTATTTCATTACATCTGAATTAGATGCCACATCTCAGGGCTGATGTTTCCCAGCAGCTTCTGCTCAAACCTCCCGGTTCCTCTTTGCCCCCAGAGCAGAAGTGGAGCCCCAAGTGGCTCCTGAGCCAAAGCCAGAGCACCAAAGGAGGCAGCACCATTAACTCTGCTTTACAATTAGCTGGGGTTTGATGCAACCCCCTGCGCACCAGAACTTGCTTCCTCCTCCCTTCATTCTGTCTCTCATCGAGTACCCACATATTTCACCTCCCATTTGGGCTTTGTTTTTCCTTTTATCCCTCCACGTCTTGACAAAAAGTTTCATTTTCTCACCGGGCTCTGAAATGACCCCACCCATCTGCAGATTGAGCACCCCAGGAGCACCAAACCCTTCAGGAAAGGCGCCTGTGCCGTCAGGAATTCCGAGCTCTGGCCTGGGCAGGTGTCCCGTGTGGTGAATCCATCACTTACCTACAGTGGGCACAAACATCCTCCCACACCTGCCTCTCACACACTTTACCCCACGTTATGAGTGATTCCACGAATGTTCCCGTTACCAGTCCGTTGCCAGAATCCTCTCTCAGGGTGCTGGATACAACAGGAATTTCATATCCCATCATTTGTGCAGCCAGGAGAAAAGATGCTGGGTGTTCAACACCCCAGACCTTCGTGCTAAGCAGGAAAGCCAAGTCACAGAGAAACTAAAGGATTATTAAACTCTATTTATTAACCTACTTTGGAGACTGTGAGGACCCAGTTGTTGAGGAGAAACACTCTGGGATGAGCTGAGCTCGTTTTTTAAACCTGCTGAAACAGTGGGTTTCATTTTAGAACTATTTTTGCTTAATTGACTTGAAAAATTATTTAAATTTTTTAAAATAATCAGTTTTTCACCCTGCTTTCCCCTAGTGAAGTTAACCCCATAGTAGGATTGGTGTAGGACTTTTTGCCTGAATTGAAGTGTGTGGGAATCCACTGCAGCCAACAAGGGCTGGAATTGGCACCCTTGAGTGCTAAAAAAGTGAGGTTTGATGACACATTAGCGAGAGAAAATAATAGTTTGGGGTCAGTATTTCCCAAGCCCCCAGTTCCCAGTAAAAGATTTAAACTAGAGATGTATATTAAAAGGAAGCAGAATGTTCCTTATCTCTTCTCCCTCCCCAAATTTTTCAAGAGCTCTTCCCCCATTTTGGATCAAATCTAAAATGCTCCATTCAACATAACTGGAAATGCATATCAGTAGATGAAAATTGGGACCTAGAATTAGGAATATCAAACAGGTGGAAAAGTCCTATTTATTACAGGACTGGATGAAACGACTCCTGGAATAAACCCTCGTGGAACGAGGTGTGCAAATAAAAGGTGTTTGTGTTGGAGGGATTTACCCCAGGAACTCAGTCCCTTTCCATCCCTGCCACTCACTGGTATTCACAGAGAACACAAACCCACCTGCAATTCCAAGACTGTCCTAGGCTGAACAAGGTAGGGGATCCTGGAGCAGGATCTGTGGTCGGTGTGGAGCTGGAAGTGGCCGGAGGTGACTCGGGCATTCCTCCCACCTTTCCCAGGGACTTTTTTAGCCCTGGCAGAGGCTCCCACAGCAGCTGCAGCCGTAATTACCCCAGGAACTATCCCATGAATCACATTCCTCTGGAAATCCCTGCCCAAGAACTGTCCTCACTTCCATCTCCTGCGCTCCAACTGGCCCACTTGGAAGCTCCCGCATCCGGTGCCGCACGGGCTGGGCTCGCAGCTCTTCCCGGAGCTCCCATCCCTCTTCTGCTGCCAAACCTGCAAAGGGACAAACCCACCAGGACATCCCCCCCTCTTTGCTTTTCCCTGGAAAAGTGCAGGAGTGGGGGAAGATTCCCAGAAGTCAAACCTGCCATCGCGTCCCGGTCGCTCTGAGCTGCTGCCGTAAAAGCCAACCCAACACCTCTGGATCTGTCCCAGCGCGCACACAATTCCCAAATTTCTATTTTAATTCGTCTCTTGTCCTCTCCAGGAACAGCCCAGCCAGTCCTGCAAGCTCCCTTCAACAAACTTCACTTTCTGCACTTGAATTTTGACACCATTCCCCGTATTTGCATTCCCCATCTCAGTGACAAAACACCCCAACACATGGTTTAACTTTCACTTTGTCGGAATCTGTCTGATTTTGCCCTAAAAACTGACGTTTTTCATTCCTACCTCTGATCCTGGGGTTTTTTCTGCTGAGTTTACCCCCTTTTTTAAGGAATTTGGTCAGGGGTTTTACAAGGATCTCCGAAGTTCTTTTCCTCCTTCCGTGTTGACACACTCGCAGATTTATGACAGCTTTAAAAAAACCCCCAAAAACCTGATTTTCCACCCTCTCACAGGTCTGACAAGTTCTTTTATTTTGATTCCCTCCAAACCAGTCAGCAAAGCTGCATCAGCTGCTCATTTCTCTTCCAAGTTGTGTTTTTCTCTTCTCTTTCATGTTTTCCACACATTTTTCCCCAAATTATCCTGAAGATTTATCCAGCAATTGAGCTAATCCCTAAATTCTTTTTTTGCCTTTAATGAGATCTCATCAGAGTTTTTAAGTTGATCATGGCCAGCCCTGCTGAGGAGGGGGAAAGGAAGGGTTTAAGAGGGGAGTTTTCCCTTTCCCATTCCCAGATTTGCATCCAGAGCAGGGCAGGAGGAAGATGTTGCCCCAAAGATGAAGGAACGTATTGTGTGGAGGCAGCAGGGACAAACAGGACCCCACAAAGGGGTATTATCAGGCACAAAACAACAACCAGCGAACGCTCAGCAATCCAGGGATTTTCCAGCCGCAGGATCCAGGAGGATTCTCACATCCACAGGGGATGGGTGTCTTAATGTACAGGAGCCTCCAGATGGAACCAGGTCAATGTGGGGCTGCAGGAGCCAAAAACAAACAAGGGAAAAAGCCTCAAAGAATTCCTGTCAACAACAACAAAAAAATACCCCAAACAATTCCTGGTCAAAACAAACAAGAAATAAAAACAATAAATAAACCCAACAAACTTCCTGTTTAAAAACCATGAAAAAAAACCCAACAACTAAACAATTCCTGTTAAAAAACAAACAGGGGAAAAAATCCAAGAAAATGAAAGCAAGTGAATGATCCACAGCAAAATATAAACTGGGGACGGAATCAACTGATTGCCCAAAATATTATTTAAGTGGTTTTTAAAGCTGGATCAGGAAAGACCTGAGAGATGATAAGACAGCAACACATGAAAATCCACCTCAGGCTCAGCCAGGCCTCAAGAGTTCCTCTAAAGAGTGTTTTAATATTTCATTTAATATTAAACCATGTGTAGAACTTCCTTTTCGTGTAATTAACAACAAATTACTCTGAGCAATGAAGAAATTGGAGGAATATGTGAACTGTGTCCAAAAATCCAACAGGAACTGATTACTCACAACGTTCCCTTCTTTGTACTTCAGCTTTAAACCCCAGAGAGAGATGGAGAACGCTTTAATCTTCCAGGGATGCCACAGAGCAGCTCCCACCACAGTAAGCAGGGCTCAGACAGCTTTTCCTGCCCCACTCCTTCAAGGATTCCAGGAGGGATCCCACACCCCCTGTGTCGGCACACGGAGAACAAAACCAGAACCTTAAATTCAAGTGACACAATCACAGCTGTTTTTTTAAAGCAGTTTGACTGTCTTTTTGATATCCTGAAGGTATGATCAGCCCAGTGACCAGAGGTTTTTTTGTTGTTTAAGAAAAGCTGTACTCTGCAAAAGTGTTACTCAAAATTTATTTACAGTTTGATAGGATGCTCAGATATTTATCCTGCAAACACATTTAGTTTTAGCTCCCAGACTCCCCAGCAATGTGCACATGAAAAGGGCAGGGGGACAACCAACAACTTTAAAGACTTAATTTTGACTTTGAACTTGGAATAAATTCACTCCAGCAGTTCGTAGGGGAGCATTTTATGCAACTTTAACTAATCAGAACGTTGTTCTCTTCTGAGAAAACAAAGGGAAAAGCATCTCTGCACTCTCCTTGTTTGAGTACATACTTATAAACAGTTTGTTTCCATGATAAAAAAGTTCTTTTCCAAAGATCTTCACCTGTTCCACGAAAAAAAGATTCCAGCCCAAACCTTCCTGAAGCCTCGGCCCAGGGGCCACCTTTGGTCACACCTGGAAAGGAGAATTTAAAACAGAGCTAAAATAAGATCCACCCTCGTACTCAGGTCCCAAATGCTTTGTAAAGGTTTAGGATATTAACTGTATGCAGTAGCTTCCCTCATGTTGGAATCAGAGCCACAGAGCAATGAGTATCTTGTCTGTGGCACACCCAAAACCAAAATTCAATGGTTCCAACAGCTAAATCATAATAAGGCCCTAAACCATCTCAAAAATATTACCCTGCTGCAGAACACCAGTGGGACTGCACTGTAAGTTATGATTTTTACCTGAGGTTGGATGCAGCTGGACCTTTTCTTTTCACTCTCCCAAGATAATCCCTGCTTAGTTGTCACCCACATTCATGGCAGTTTATCCACAGACACGGACGAAACTTCATCTCTGTCCTGCACTGCAAAATATTTTGATAAGGGTTTTTCAGCAATTCTCATCTTTCACACCAAGTGGCAAATCTTCCCAACAGCTCTCAGGGATTTTTACAGCCCTGTCTTTTTGAGCCTCGGGAGGCGGAGGTGAGCAAGTCCCCCCAGACTGCTGGGACTGCACAAAGGGACAGGCAGGGATGTCAGCCAGGAATGAAACACAAGTGTACCTGCATCCTGCTCCACCTGATGGGAGCGGTACCCTGGGTTTGACGAAACCAGCCACAAGTCCGTGGAGAGGAGCAGGTGTGGAGCCTGACACAGCGAGCCCTGCCAGGGCACAGCTGGCACCTCATCCCTGCAGCTGCCTGGAAAAGGATTCAGGATCATGGAAAGGTTTGTGTCGGAAGGGACCTTAAAGATGATCCCATCCCAGACACCTTCCACTATTCCAGGTTGCTCCAAGCCCCGTCCAACCTGGCCTTGGACACTTCCAGGGATCCAGGGGCAGCCACAGCTTCTCTGGGCAACCTGTGCCAGGGCCTGCCCACCCTCACAACCAACAATTCCTTCCCAATATCCCAACTAAACCCTGCCCTATTTCAGTCTGAATCCATCCCCCCTCGTGCTGTCATTCCTGGCTCTTGTAAAAACTCCCTCTCGGTCTTTCTCGTCCCTTCCCTTCAGGAACAGAAGGATTCCCCTCCTTGGCCGGGCAGGCCCTGCCCCTTCTCCATTCCACAGCTGGATACAACACGAGCCCCTGCCAGGCTCCCGCTGCCCCTCGGCGCACCCACAAACACCCCCAGGGCCCTTCCCTGGGGGGAGAACCGACCGTCCGGCATTCCCGGGCACAGCTCCCGGCCCGATCGCTCGGGAGCCGCTCCAACCCCGGCCCGAGCGGCACCACGCGTGGATTCCCCTCGGAGGGCGGCCGGGGCTGCGGGGACCCCACCCCGGACGGCCGGGGCAGCGCGAACCCCTCCGAGGGCGGTCCCGGCCCGCCGAGCTTCATCACCCCCCCCTTCACTCACTCCCTCAGAGCCGCCGCGGCGGCGCCGCCGCCCCTCCCCGCGCTCCGCCCGCCCCTCGCGCTCCGCCCGCCCCCCGCCGCCGGGGCCCGCGCCATTCCCGCGCCATTCCCCGCTCCGCACCTTTCCCTCCCTCCTGGCTGCGCGCCCCTGCCCGGGCGCGGCTCCGGCTCTAGCGCCGCTCCCGCCCCGCGCCGCCTCCCCCGGGCGGCCGCAGCGGGGCGGGCGGAGAAGGCGCAGCGCGCTCCCCGCGCGGAGCCGCCGGCGCGGCCGCTCCGTCCCCCTCGGCCAGCGGCGCGGAATGAGGCCGGGCGCGGGGCCGGGCTGTCCCCCTGCCCGGCCGGCGCCGCTCCCCCATTGGCTTCCGCCGCGCCTGGCGAGCGCCATTGGCCGGGGCGCGGCGGCGGCGCGCGGCGATTGGCGGAGGGCGCCGTCAGTCCGGCCCCGGGCCCGCCGAGCGCCCGCCCCCGCGGTTATCAGGTTAGTGCCCGCCGCGGTGCTGCGCTCGGGCTTCCGAGCGGCGCTGGGCGAGCCCGAGTCCCTCCGCGCCCCGCGACCGGGGGGGTCCGCACAGGGGTCACTGCGCCAGCACCGCCAGCCACGGACATGGACATGAAGAAAAGGATCCACTTAGAGCTGCGGAACAGGACGCCCTCAGATGTAAGCAATGCCAAAAAAAAAAAAAAAAAAATTAACGATGATGATGATGATGAGAATAATAATCATAATAATAATGATGATGGTGATAATAATAAAAAGGCATCCCGTGGGGTTTTGTTTTTTTTGTTTTTTTTTTTTTTTTTGGAGGGGGAGGTGGGGGGAAGCGAGGGTGTAGCGTCGGTGTCGGCGGGGCCGCTGCTGCCCTTGAGGTGCCTACCTGTGTGTGTGTAGGGGGGCCGTGCAGCCCGGTTTGGGGGTGCCCGGGGTGCTTTGGGGGGACCCGCGGCCGCTCCTGCCCGTGCCGGGCTGCGATGCCTCCGAGGGGGGCTCGCCGTGCGTTAAATAAAAAATAAGTTGCTCGCTCCTCTCTCTCTCGGCGTGTTTAGTTCGCAAATATTTGTGCAGGGTGCTGGGCAGGGAGAGGCAGACAGGGACTGCGAGTGAGTTGCGAATGGTTTAGTTTAAAGTGCGTCTTCATTTCTTTGCAGTGATCAGGCAAGAGAGACTGGGGAGCCATATTTGTAACTTTGTAGTCCTCATGAACGCGCCCTTTCTCTCTCTCTCTCCCTCTCTCCAGATGCTGAGAAGATAAAAGGAAAGAATTTTAAACCAATGCTTAGCGTTGGTTGGGTTTTGCTTTTTTTTTTTTTTTTTTTTATCTTCCCCTCCCTTCTTATTTATTTATTTATTTATTTTTAATACGGGGCGATGGGGGCATCGCCGCCCCGGTAGCGCGAGCGTTGAATAATAATAATAATAATCATAATAAATAAAAATATTGGAAGAAATCAACGCACTCTCCACCCCCTCCATCCCCACACGCGCACAAAAAGGCTGGATGTGTGTGCGTGTTTTTCCTTTTCTCCCCCCTTTTCCCCCCCTTTTCCTTCCCCCCGGGGCCGGACTTCAGGTTGTTGTTCCGCGTCTGGCGGAATAAACGGGGGAAGAGAGGAAAACTTTGGCAGGACAAAAAAAAAAAAAAAAGAAAAAAAAAAGAGAAATAAGGGGGGAGGGGGGGAAAGAAAGGACGGAGGGGA